AAATATAAACACTAAATAGTAGAATTTATATTTGCTCTGATTATTTATAATCTTTACTGTGGTTCCAGTTAACTCACTAACAATTACTTCAAATACACTATACTTCAGTTTACCAACAAGCCTATTTATAGATGATTAATTTATAGAGAAGTTTATTTTATAGATAGTATGTTTTATTAATAGCTCATTTTACAGAAAAGTAATTTTAAGCATTGTCATTAGAGTTAGATTTAGAATTAGAGTTGAGGTTAGTACAATTTATAAAAAACTTGTTTGTAAAATGAGCTATTAGTAAATTATATTGTTTACAAAATGAATTTTTCTGTAAATTAATCATTTATAAAACAAGTTTGTTAGTAAAATAAGTATCTGTGAATTGTAGTGTTTTTGTAGTAATCATGATTGTTAGTGAAATAATATAGACCCTCTTTACTACCGTAGTGTCACAAGCAAATTTTGATTAGTTATATAAAATAAAAAATTTATTTTTTTAAAATTTATTTCATAAATATAAAAATCATTTACCTTGTTATAATTTTTAGACAAGCTTTGTATTTAGAAATATCAAAAATTTCTTCAAGCTTTTTGTTTTTTTAAATATTTTCATTTTTAACATCTGTAGTTATTATATTAACAGAGCTGCTATAGTTGTATATATAGTATTTCTCTTTACAAAATTATATTTGTATAACTAGCAGTTAATATCTTAGATAACATAAAGGATAATTACCATTTAAGTTAGAGTGAATTAGTATCAGAAAAAGAAAGTTATTTGCATCTTCGCTTTGATTTTAATGTTTGTAACCAGTTTATCTAATTGATCTTCTGAAATTAAATCTCAGTATTTATTTCTCAAACTGTATCATATTCACAATAAGATAAGATAGTATTCAAAAAATTAAATAATTGTCATGGCTGATGCTGAAAATAGCTAAAGCTAGAAACTAGAGACCTTGATTTAAAAATATAAACTCTACAAAAATCTGCTTATACTCTTTTATTATTAAAACTACCTCTAAACCCTAACTTAACTCTAAAAAAAAACCCTAACAATAGGCTCCAAAATTTTTTGAAAATTTTATAATAAAATAATTAAAATTTCCAGTATCAGCCATTTCTAGCTTCAGCCACAACAATAATTAATAATTGTTTTATGTTTGCAATTGACATTATGAAATTATAATATTGATAATAAGAGAAAGCTATTACATATATCATTTGACATATCACTTACAAAGTTTCAATTTTGAAAATTCACTAAATTTTTCCAAATATTTTTTCAATTTGGAGCAGTTTTTTTGTTCTATATATAACTTATAAAAAAAATAAGAATACTCACAGCATATCAATTTTGAATATCATTTTCTACTGTAAAACAACTTCAAAGAGTGCATAAAAGTCTTCCTTTCTAAGAATAGTTAATCTAATAGTATATACAGATAAAAAATAACAGGAAATTTTTCATGTGCTGATATTTTGAACTACAAATTATTGAATTGTTTAACTTTTTGTATTAGAGATTGAGATTTTTTGAGCATCAATTTATATATATATACGATAATTTATCAATCTCCATTTTGTGATATGAAATTTTAAGTTAGGGCGGTTATATGTTATAACTATCGCTCATAGACAATTGATAGTATTTTTGAGATCAGGTGTAACATGATAGTCAAAACAAATATTGCGTGTAAACTAAAGCTAAGAAAACTTCGTTTAGTTATACTTGCTGCTCAAATCCAAAATTATTATAGTTTGAATTTGTTTATACCCAAATCCCAAATTTATCTTAAATTAATATCTCAAAAACTTTTTAATAATCTTTATTTAAATAAATAGTATATATCACTTTACCAATAGCTTAGTTTACTGACAATTAATTTGCTAACAATTAACTTACTGACAAGTTCATTTTACTGACACTGACAAAGTAATTCTGGTCTTGTTGTAGTATCAGGTTAGAATTAGAGTTAAGGTTAGTATAATTTATAAAAAAAATAGAAATAAGCTGTTGGTAAAATAATTGTCAGTGAAATAGTAAGTTAATTGTTGGTGAAATAAACTTGTCGGTAAATTAAATATCAGTGAAATGACATGTATTCATTATAGAGGATAAGAGAGTTTGAGGCATTTGAATAAAGCTACAAGTCATATACAAAGCTTTGCTTCCTATAGTTGTTAATATTACTGCATTACATAATTTCGGCAAAAAAAATTATCGACTAAAAAATAAAGTTAAATATATATTTAATTTATAATTCTTACTATACCAAAATATACTTAAACGACTACTTTGATATGAAGTTTGAATATGTACCAATTAAAAATATGATAGAAATTGTTATTGCTTATATTATGACAATATAAACGTAACTTTGTTCTTTCGATTATAATGATACCATTAATTTTAATCATATTGATTATTTACAAGTTATTTGTAAGAAAAAAAATATATATATATATTTTATTTATGCTAAGAATTTTTTATTTAGTATTAATAAAGGCAATATTTTCTTTAAAAGTTTTTATATTTCTTAAATGATTATACTTGAATGTTTTATTTTGGCAATTTATAATCAATAATTAGTATAGTAAACAAAAAAAAAAAGTTAAAGCTGCAATCTTTTAAGTTTAGCATATATCACAAAAAAGATCCATTGTCACTCTCAAATCCACCTCTTATTCAGATTCAAGGGACTGAGCATTTGGAGTATGAATACTTCAAACTGTATGAAGCAATAAGGGACGTTGAAATTATCAACTATACAAGAAGATTTAAAATAAGGCATTAAAAAAGGCAACAACTTTATAGTATATAAGGATACTAAAAATTGTATTATTCTAATTTACTACAAACACAATATTAAGTTTGTGTTTTCTTGGTTTATGGTATTATGTAACAATAACTCTGGGTTATCTTTTAGATATTCAATTCAATTTAATATGTATGAAGACACGATTATATTTTATTTGATAGAATATAATACAAAGAATACAAAAGAGATAAAAACTAAACTATTGGATAGAGAATTTGACTATCTAAGGAATTATTTGGAATATCGAAGTCTAAAGCAAATTCTAAGGTGAAATCAAAGGTCTTAAATACATATTTGGAAAACTAAGCTAAGTAATACTTTTCTTATTTTTCTTTTAATACTAAGTTGCTCTATTTAATTAGTTAATAAAACTAATAATTAAGTAATTACTTTTAGTATAAAGCTATACTTTAGAATGAAACTTATTACGAGGCATAACAAGGTTAGAACCCGTGGATCTGAGGATCGTTAATCCACACTGTGGTTATATAGATCAGGTAATTCTTATTGCGGCTAGAATTTCATATGACAATTTCCTCTGACTAATTATGAGCTCCGCGAATAATATTTACCAACTATAAATATTTCATTAGCATTATTAATAGATTAGTGAGGTAATCATTCTTTATTTAAACTTATCTCTCCAAATGTTATAAATATTTTTATGATTTTTTATTTATTAGTTCTAGATCTATATTCTTAAGAAAACTAGATGATATTTGTTTAGCAATTGGTTTCTGAATGTTAACATATTCAGAAAATCTTTGTGCTTAACTAGAGCTTTTGGTATATTTCTTGGGTACTTCCCCATTCAAGGTTTCTTTTTGTGATATTGTTTAAGTAACAAGGCATTTTGTGGCATATCTAACACTTGATTATCTAGTGTTTTTAATTTGTATACATCTGGTGCTACATGTTCATATATTACAAAAGGACCAAGCTATTATAGTAAGAACTTTCTAGTATGTCACTCTTGTTGAGTGGTATCAAACAACAATACTTTGCTGCCCTTCTGGAAAATTCTTCTTACCTTCTTTAATTTTCTATCCCAATAAAACTTATACCTGTTTTGGGCTTTAATTATATTAAGTTTCACAGCTTTACAGTTAATAGATACTTCTTCTGCAATTGTAGTTAGTCTGTCAATCATATTATCATTAACTTCTATTTCTTCTTTAAAGTTAAGAAATCTTGCTTCTCTGCTATAAGTTAGATAAAATGGTGTAAACTTGGTAGAGAATTGTTTGCAAGTCCTATACGCATACAAGACTAAGAATATTAATGTGTCCTACTCTTGCTCTTGTTTGATCAGTTTTGCCAATACTTTACACAACATGCGATTATATCATTTTACCAACCCATTGGTTTGTGAGTGGTAAGGCATTAATATTATGTGTTTTATTTCAAAATTCTTTACTATGAATTTTATTACTTCATTATTAAAATATACTTCTCTATCTGATATTATATAACTAGGGCATCTATGATGACAAACAATTTTATTAAAGATGAACTGAGCTATTTGCTGAGCATCTGCATTAGGTACAGCTTTGGCTTCAGGCCATTTTGTCATATAATTCACAGCCACGATTATATAATAATTGCCACTTGTCATTATTTCAAGAGATTCTACAAAGTCAATGCCGATTTTGTGAAATAGGGCTTCTACAAGTATGGGTTGCAATGGTCTGGGCATTCTATATTTATCTCATTTTTGATAAGTATCACATGTTCTAACATATTCCCTAATATGTTCATACATTTGAGGCCAATAATACTTATCGCAAATTTTATTGAACATTTTATCAGTTCCCACATGTGCACCTAACAGATGGGTATGATGTATATATAAGATAGATTCTACTTCTTCTGCTTTAATTACTCTTAGTAATTGATTTCCAGATTTTTTTCTTCGATTCCTTTTATATAACAGGTAGTTATATAAAATAAAGAATTTACTTTGGAATTCTAGTTGTTTCTTTTGCTTATTATTGAACTGAAGTAGGTATGTAGCTTTTTCTAAAAAGTCTTTAATTTGTTTATACTTATTTACTTCTATTTTGTGTCTGTTATTAGATTAACAATTTGTATGGTAGCAGTGACTGACCTGCAAAGTTTTATGTTATTTGTAGATAGGAAAAATTAAGATTTTGTTCAAACAAGTTGAACAGGGTTTGATACTTTTCACCAAACTGAATTACAAAGATAAGTATCATTGTAATTATTAAACTCCTTGTAATGATGTATCATTGGAGTTTCTAAGAGTCTCGACTACCATGGTTGGTTTATCAAATAATTTTCTTTTTTTTTTACAAGTTTTTCAATTGGAACTATTAAATCTTTTAAATGAATTACAATTTCATCTGGATACTCAATTCTTAAGTCTTCTACATGATCCTCCAGTAGGTTGCTCTCAGTTTCTTCTTGATCATCAAACACAGGTGTTGCTTAATAACACTTGGCAACTTCTTGGAGTGGATAATTCTTAATTGTAATCCATAGTTTCAGATTACACTTACATTTGGCACAATCATCTTTTACTTTCATTCTAATCTTAATTTGCTTAAGTAATTGAGTGAATCTTCTATTGTATATATCAATAGGCTCACCAATTTGCTGTTTGAGATTATTTAGTTCTTTTAACCAATAGGTTTGCTAACAAATGGTACAAAAATGTTTTTTATACATATTGGTAAAAGTTTTCTAATTGTTCTCATCAAAACTCGTAATAGTAGTCTTATTTTTTATAAAATAAGTTTTTTGCTATTC